AAGAAAAAACTTTTATAGACAAGGAGATTATACAGAAACCATTGTTCATTTTCTGTTAGTTGATTCTAAATATCCTGTAATACTGTCATTCTCTTAAATGGTTTTACATTGTTTTGATATATTTGATGCTACAGTATATGAAGTTATACTCAAAGATTTCAAGGAAAGAGACAATATGGTAAGTACTTTTATGTCAGGATTATCTTGTGGTGAAACACTATTTTGCTTAAATGGTTATGTTTTGATCTGCACTGTTTTGCTGTTATGCCCTCTTTTATCTCAATCTCCATTTTATTATTTACTTTTTATTTTTATCCTTTTAATTAAGGGAAAAATAAATTTTAAAAATGGCAGGATATATTATAGTAACCCACTTTGACTTGCCATTATCTTGATTTAAAGCCCTGTATTGCTCTCACCATCTTGTTTTGACTGATGTTCCTCTATTCTTTTTTGCTTGATAGTACCAGGTTCGAAAGTTTAGGCAACAGCTGTGAAGATAGTGGGATTCACTATGACGCCCATTCTGATTGACTATTATCTACTTTTGAAGACCTATAAATGTCTCCAATGTTTTGGTTTTGTTGGTTTTGTTGTTTACTGTTTTGTTCAATTTTATTATACCTGATGATATAGGCAATTCTATTAGAGATAGCAGGAGGCATCATGGTAACCATTGTTGATCACCTTGTATTATGCTTTTACATTATCTATTATGTCCACCCTTTTGATTTGACTGACTCTGTTCTGCATTATGTCACATTTGGTTCTACTCTCTTCCAAAAAAGTAATAAGAACTGTGGGAGCAACAAAATCCAAAATGTATAATTGTCATTGTACAAAAGAGAGGAAAAGAAAATGCTCTAAACACTATAACTGCATGTATATTTAAGTGTATAAGATAGCTAATGATATTACTGAGTTTTGTTGGATCATTGAACAGAACTGTTTGCAGTCTCACTGTTGCAATGTCTACTTTATAAGCTTTAATTTTGTAACATGAACAATTATTTCTAAGATGACAATATGTAATCCATTAACTAGTGATTTCCTACTGTTTATTTTTTTCTGTAAACCTGTATAACTTGTACCCTTTCTCTGCTTTTTTTATCTTTCTCATTAAATAAAATTTTTTTAAATGTTAAAAAAAAAAGTTTAATGTGCCCAGAGCTGAGCTTCCAATGCTCAACCCAAATCACATCCCACTCCAGTGTTCAATGTATCAGTAAATGGCAGCTCATTCATCCAGTTACTCTGGTCAGCAACCTTGGAGTGGCTTCTAGCTATGACTGAGTACTTCAGTCAGACCAAACTTCCCAAAGGAAAAACTGTAAAAATCTGTAGAAAAAAAACAAAACCTAGTGAAAATCACCGAGATTATTTGAAAGCATTGGAAAGCAATTAATATGGTCAGGGTATGAGGACCTGGCATCCCAGTGAGGAGAGAAATATATACAGTGATGTGGAGCTTTTCCATTGATTTATCTCCTGGGGAATTTACTAAGTACAGGGTATTTTGGGGAAACCAAAAGCAATGCTTAGAGAGGTGTCAGGTGCATTTTAGACCTAGAGAGATGAAAGCTGCAGTTGAGAACTATAGCCAAGACTTGAAGAGACAAGACCTAAGAGACAGGGAGAATGCAGAGAACACTGCCTGACTCTTAATCTTGATTTTGTTGATTTCTAAACTGGAAAGGCACTAGCAAACAAGAAATCTAGCAGTTTCTAAGTGTCTACAAAGCTCAGGAGACCTTGCAATAGTCTCAAAACTGAGAATACAAAAAATGGAATTCAAGCTCACTCAAAATTGGAGAACAGTTAAATATGCCAAGATTTCTTGTTGAGTGATTACAGAAAAGTACCAGGGCCCTGGTCTAGGACCACCAATCTCCTGCTTAAGGGTACAATGACAGAATAAAACAACACAGATTGGAATATACACACACACACACATATTAGTTACAGGGGGCACCAGGATGGTCAAAGCCCAATAAGGACTAAGACCACAAGGCACAATGTCCTTGGGCTTTATTAGGTTCACAGTTTAATTGGAGGGGAGGGTGCTGCTGGGCTGCAGGAAATAGTGGGGATGCACTGCTGACATAGTCAAGGTTCAAGAATTAAGGAGCATTGCATTTTTAGAAAAGCACACAGGAAGAGATCACGGCTAACTAGTAACCTGATTGTCTGCTAACTGAGTTAGAAGGAATTTGCATGATTCAAGTCCTCAGCTGCCTGCTTTAAGGTGCCAGAACTTAACAGACCGTTTACTAGTCTCAGATCTGGCTGTTGGCTTAAAGATTAATCTGTCTTTAAACCAGCCACACAAGTCTTGCCACAAGTTATGTAGGCCAAAGACAGACTCTCAATTTATTTTTGTGCCAATTTATTAATATTAATTATTGTCTACTCTGTACCTCATCAAGCTGGTCTTCAGCAAGAAAGTCTCATTTTTATGGTTTAAATCTAGTTGTTCTCCCACATAAGTGTGGCTTTTGAGAGGTGGCTGGATCATGGCTACAAACACATTGCTAGATTTCAGTGCCAGCCATTAATTTTTCAGGAAATTTTGAAATGGCTAGAGGAGAAGATGACATTTTTACTTATTTATTTCTGTATTGAAAATGACATTTAAATAACTGATGAATGATGATACTTTGACCAGCAAGGATCTTATCCAAAGTACAGTCAGAATGGCTCAGAGGCTCAAAAGCCCAGGATGTACTTGGATAACTCTTCAGTAGGGTGTGCATAGATGAATTGTGGGCATTCCATAGAAAGAAAGTTAGCACCATGTCATGGAAACATTGAACATGAGTTTATCAGAGTGTTTCTGCCATCATGGAACAGAATACCAATCCCAAGCAGTAGAAACAAGACGTGTATTATTTTGCTTGAGTTCAGAGATAGAATGCCTGCATTGGTATCCTGGAGGCTCAGTACATTATCAATACAATAACTTTTTCCCCCCACCTCTCCACTCTCTCACCTAGATCACTGGTATCAATAAGATAGCAAGAAGAGTATATAGATTGGAAAATAGAATAGAAAATCCACTTTTGAAAAGCATAAAAATCTTGCCTGTAAACTACCAAGTGACCGGAGTTACATCGCATCATTAAATTGGGGAACTATGTAGATCACATTTGGATTAGATGAGCCCCTCAGGTTTTAGGACAAGAAGCACTTGTTTGATTGGGGAAAGAGAGGAACAAATGCTGTTAGGAGAATGTTGGAACCAAGAAAAATGAGTGTTGATTGGACAACCAATAGCACTGTACAATCACAGCTAAAATTTCTGAAGAATTTGATAGCCACCAAAAATTCTTGTAGAAGCTTTTAACTGCAACCAATTTCTATTTTTATTGTACTCCCTCCTTGTACTCAAGATAGCAAAATATTTATCTCTAGACCAGATTGTCGTGTCTTGTTGAAGATCAGTTCAAAGACATTAGCAATTGCTCTGGGGTTAAAAGCTCCTAGAGGCTAGAAGCATGATTGATTTTTAACCTTCCTTTTTTTCCTCTAGTTCTGGTTTGAAAATAGGCTGAAGGGGAACAAAGGTATAATCAGGGAGACCAGAAAGGAGGCATCACCCAGTGCACCTGGCTGAGAGGGTGGCTGGGACTAGTGAGTAGGGGAAGGTTATGGTGAGAAGTGGTTAGATACTGGATCTATTCTGAAAGTAGAAACAGATGGATTGGCTATGGGCACAAGTGAAAGAAAGGAGCCAAAGATGACCTTAAATATTTGCTTAAATGTTGTACATTGTTTGGAAAAGATCATACAGAAGCTCTAGCTGATTATTGTCTTTCTCCAGAGAGGATTTAATTTTGTTCTAACTGGAAGTTGGAGTACGGGCAGGTGACCTTCAAGCAGAGTCAGAACTTGTAAGGACTGATCCTCTTCTGGTTTTTCCTTGTCCCAGAGCATAGGTATCTTAGTTACTTTCTTGTTGCTGGGGACAAATACTGGACACCCACAAGTTAAAGGAGCAAAGTTTAGCTTACAGTTCATAAAGGTTTCAGTCAACCTTGTTGGCTGGCTTCAATGGCAAAGTGGAGTGACAAAGGAGAAATAGTCTATGGCAAGGAAGGCAGGAAACTGGGAAGCAGCAGCCTCCTTTTCCCTTCTGTTCTATTCAGGTTATAAGCCTGTTGGTTGGTGCCGCCCACATGCAGGGTGGGACTTCTGTCTTTAGTAGATTCATTCAACCACAACCAGAACATATGCCTTTTTGCAAGTGCTCCACAATGCTAACATCTGCTTTAGACCACAAATCAGTGAAGGAGTCTGGGAGATAATAATACAAAGGTTGACATTTACCAGGTAAGGTCTTAAGTATTCTACCTTTATTAACACTTTTGATCTTCACAACAAAAGCTATGAGATATATTCTATCGTCTATTTTGCAGACTAGGAAAACAAAGTGCCCACAAGCATACACACACACACACTAATTCGACTGAGTGTTACAGGTGGGCCCACTGCAGAACCTGGATTTAAACCAAGTCACCACTTAGCTGAATTGAAAGTTGAACTGCAAATGCAAATGATCACAAAGGATACATCTGCTTCGCTTCGCAACAAACTGCGAGGTCTCTAGTACTAACCCCAAAGCATCTTTTGTTTCTGGGCACAGGCACAGACCCACCCCAGACACTCCAACCTTTGGAGCGTGGGGTTTGATGATTAAGGTTTAGGGGAACTGTGTCTTTCTCTGCACAGTCGAAACAAACTGCCCATTCCTTTCCCCAAGTTAAGCCTGTAAGGCGGCCCTCGTCGCTCCAGGCGCCCCAAGGTTTTTGATGCCCTGGAGGTAGGGGAACGCAGAAAAGACTGCGGAAGGGCGCAGTAGCCCGCGCGGAGGGGCTGGATGTGATGACCCCGGGAGACACCAGGAAGGCAGCGTTTTCCCAGCCCACACGTAACAGAGCCGGGAGCCTGCTCCCCAGGGCGTCATCACTGGGGCAGCAGGGTACACCGAGGTACTGTGAGAAGAGAAGCCAGGCGAGGCCGCCCTCGGAAATCTCAGGGGCACTTGGGCCTGTGAGAATAACGCTGACAGCGGCCATGCGAGGCTGCAACTCCAAACCCGGCGAGGTTCCGCTGAAACTGACGAAGAGCACACAGGCACTCCAGCTGTTAGAACGGCGCCTACAGCCAGAAAGCTCCCAACGCGCAGGCGCGCCTGAGGGGGGGCCATGGATGGGCGGAGCCCAGAGCCGGAAGTGCCTCCCACAGGAACTGCCTCGAGGTCCCGCCTCCAAGAGAACCTTTGGTTGCTGGGCAACTGGTGCTGGCGCTGCCTGCTGGTTCTATGCTCCCTGGAAAAGGCTGCCTGTAGCTCTCTCCTACAGCCCTGACAGCCTCCCTTCCCCTTCGTCGCTTCGCGTGCCGCTTCTCTTCGCTTCACTAAATCCGAATCCTTGGCACTGCTTGACATCTCTCTGCCTCCCACGCGTTGTTAGTGCCCACTTGCCGCAAAGCCAAGTTCCAGCGCAGGCAAAGCAGTCTGACCCCGGACCCTTCCTGCGAAACCACAGCTCTCCAGTCATGGCCACCTACACCTACACCAGCCGGCCCCGGGCCCTGCCCTGCCAGCGCCGCCGTTATCGGGACAGTCTGTTGCAGCCGTGAGTGACCAACCGGCCCGTCTCCACTTGCACTCCATCCTGGGTCCAGGTCCTGGCAAAAGCTGCCCAGGCTGCTTTCCCTTGTGTACACTCTGCTGAAAGAAATTTTCCGCGGTCAATAACTGCCGTGGTGTAGAGGGATGAAGCAAAAAGGAGCATGGCTGGCCTCTCTTAGTTCATTTTAGTGATAGTGAGTTGCTGGCATGATCCATAACCTGTATACAAACTGCCTTATTTCACAAAGCTTGTCAACTAATGCTTATTGAGGACTAGCCTCATACTAGACACTTCACTGGAGGCATTCATATTTTCTTAATCCGTAGTACTGCCACCTTGGTTTCATAATTCATTATGCATATAAGGAACCAAGGCACGAAAGTGTTAGACGCAGAAACGAGTACAAATGACAGCCTCATAAAGTTCTTTCCACACTTGTCTTTGGACAGGAATTAGGTTATTCATCCATGTACAGCCACAAATTGTACTTTTACACTAATGAATACAAATGTTCAAACATCTATATTTAGAAAAGACAATACACATTATGATTCCCTTAAAGTTATTTACCTAAGCCTCAAATTTTGGAATCAGCAGAATTTCACAAGAATGCAAGTTGTATGGAAGCAAGGACTTTGTATCTCATTCACCTAGGACTATGCCTAGCATGTAATAAGCACTTAATACACATTGTCTAGGTGGTGACTGACATCAAAGTGTAACTCTTGATGTTTATTTTACACACTGAGTCAAAATTTATAATTATCTTATTTTGACAAGGGTTTTTAGTAAGAGAGTTCTAACACTTAAAGGAAAAACAAGGTAGAAATTTTAAATTTGAAGATTTATTTTTATGAAGATTCAGTGTAAAAAGAACTCTTTCCAAAAACATGTTTTGGTAAAATTAAATGGTTGCTCACAAATCCTATTATTATTAAATCATTATTATTAAAACATTATTCAAAAAATTAGAAATGAGAATGTATGCTGATTCATTTGGCACAATTTTTATAAGTAGCAGATTTGTATATTATGTAATTTTTTAAGTAATTGATTAGTAATGCAGAAGAGAGTAAAATTTCAATTTCAAGAAAATAGTAGCTTATAGATGGTAATAATTGATATCCTTATGCATAAGGATGATATCTGTCTACAGTGTCCTTATGAATAAAATATTGAAAAAGTAGCCAGGAGAATACTGTTAGCTAAACTTTCTGGTGAATGACTAGAAGACTATGTCCAAGAAAGTATACCTTTATGTCAGTCTGTATATATCGTATACAGATATATGATATATAATATATGATATATCCTGTATAATATGTGATTTATCCTATATATAGTCATATCCTGTTCAGAGTTTTATATAAAAGAAATAAATCTAGCCTCTTTTCTACATCCTTATCAGCAATAAGTGTTAGGAATTTTCTTTTTTCTAAAGCTTTTTTTGTTTTTGTTTTCACTGTTTTGGCTTGTTTTAAATCTAGCCTGTTCTCTAAAGTTCTCACGTGTTCAAAGGTGGGACTTTCAGAAAGTTATTTGATCTTGGAGATGCTGTACGTAACATGGATTAATCCATAGATGAGGTCAACTTCTGAGTAAGGTGTTGAGGTGGGGCCTAGTGGAAGAGGCAGTAGCTAGGGAATTGACCCAGAAGAACATATATCTCCCTTTTGGCTCCTCCCTTCTTTCTCTGCTTCCTGGCTACCATGGGTGAGCAGCTTTTCTCTGAGGTAGGCTCTTCTGCTATGCTGTTTCTGCATTTGAGCCTGCTGACTATGGACTGAACTTCTGAAACCATAAGTCAAAATAAGCATCTTGGTCTTTAAATTACAGGTGTCAGGTATTATGTCCTAGCAACAAGAAAGAGACTAAGACAGCTTTGTTTCATTTTTTGTTTTTGATAAGGTCAAATCAAATTTTCCACATTAAATGTCTTCCAGCTATAGGACCAAGAGATCTTTTTTTTAAGTCAGTAACCTAGTTGTAGCTATAAGCAATAGATGGATGCAAAGATTTGAGAGTAGAGTCAGTATTTTTTCTGCATTAGGTGCAGGGACAGGGAAAAGTAAGGAAATCATGGATGACTCTCAGGCTTCTATATTAAGACAACTGTATGGTTGGTGGCACTGTTTAATGAAATGGGAAACGTGTCATAACAAGTTGAAATGGAAGAGTGATAATTACATTTGGAAGTTGCCTTCCAAATATCTTATGGGCAACTGGATATACCTAGCATTCATTGAAGAGTTATGGGCTAAAAATAAAATAAAATTGGTGCATGGATCATATATGAAGCTTCAAAAATAGATAGGATCATCTTCAGAAAGCAGAAGGTGGAGCCTTGAGGGCTTCTCCTTCTCAGAAGGAGCAGCAAAGACTGAGAAAGAGCAGTCAGAGAAGTAACAAAACATAATCAGAAGAAACTGGTAAAGGAAGAAGTTAAAATTTTAAAAAAAGAATATGTTTGTATCACAGGGAAATAGAAAAGAGCACTTACATGAAGTGCTACATACTACCAAAGGCCAAGTAAAATAAGCAACAAATTATGTCAGGATGTGGCTTCAATATATGATAAGCGAACAGCTTATGCACAGTCAGATCGTTTCTGATAGAGTGCTGTTATTGGTGTTGGTTGTGGTCTGGCTTCACAGCTATTCATAGGTTATCTTTCTAAGAACTTAAAATGAAAATATCGGCTGCACATTTGTATTTTTCATCACTGATCATTCAGATCCCTGAAATTAGAAGTTTATTAAGAGTTTAAACATACCTTTTAAACATCCTTGGATTTAAAGAACAATGAGAAATTTGACTTGTTATATTTTTAAGCCTGATTCTTTTCTTTGTATAATTTTTCAATACTCAAATAAAGCTTTTTTTAGTCCTTTAGGTTAGGTTCCTTTTCAGATGGCCCATTTTCACATTTATTAAGTGAAATAAGATTACAGATTTACAGCCTGAGTCCAGCTCTGCCACTTACTAGCAATATGACTTTGAGTCTATTTCTTCTTGGGTCAGATAGGAGCTATAGTTCCCAAATTGAAGCTTATCATGAACAGGAAATAAAGTAATATACATGAAAGAGCCTGGCATTGCACAAATGGTAACTATTCGTGTCCTTGTTTTATGGGCCATTCTCAAACAAATCTATTCTCTTAAAAATAATTTATATTAGTCTACAACATATTACAAATGAGTTTACTTCAAAGATACGATGGATGCCACAGATAAAATATTTACTTAGACTTTGCTGTTTTACAGAGAGGAAGAGCCTGTCCGTTATGGAAACATAATGTACGACAGACGAGTGATCCGAGGCAACACATACGCACTACAGACAGGGCTGCTGGTAAGCACGATTTAAGTAGTCTCAGAGTGCTTTCTTTGTCCATAGGGAAGCATCAGTTTGTATATTTGCGTTAATTTCAGAGCCATTGCAGACTAAAACACCAATAAAATGAAATGAGGATGAATTACTAGAAAAGTTAAATTTTAATAAAAGATATGCAGAAACTGTAGCTGTGTCTCAGTGATACAGTGCTTGCATAGTATTCACAAGGTCCTAGGATTAATTCCCAGCACCACGGAGGGGATTTATTTATTCTCCAGTATGCTTCCTAGAAGCTCAAGACAAAGGGGTATTGTTTAATAGGCATACAGTTTCCGTTCTGGAGTGGATGGTAAAGATGGATTTAGAACAATGTGAATATACTTAATGCCACTGAATTGTATATTTTAAAATGATTTTAAAATGATTGAAGTTATAAGCTTTTCATTATGTATATTTTATCATATTTAATAACTTTAAAAACCCTTTCAATGCAACTCTAGCAAACTGCTCTGAAAGTTTTTAGACTTTTACTATCAATTTCTGTAGTTGTTATAGACCAATCTAAACGTTCCAAAAACTGCTATTCTTGGGCAGTCCTATCTACTACATTTAGATTTGTTTAGCTGTGTCATACCCCAATACTGTTATCATTTCATCAAAAAGTCTGAGTTACATTTGATTCAACCAGTAGTTACTTAATGAGATTTAGGTCCTGCACTGGGTCATTACCTAGGATACAACAATGACTAAGACGTGGTATCAATTATAGTTAGTGATTGGCATAGAAATGAAATATAGTTAATGTATAAGCAACACATGACGTAAATAAGTAGCACAAGATGGTCACGTATGGAGTGTTAGTCTAAAGTAGTATTTGTGTTCCATAGTAGACTCTGCATCAGAATTGCTGGGAAAACTTATTAAAAATGTGTATGCTTCAGCCCTACTCTGCTCCGCCTGCATTAGAACCTGTAAGGTTAGGACACAGGAATGTGAACTTTTAATAAACTTCTATAGACAATTCTGGTACAGACAGATCAGGGTCAGCATAAATATGTGATCTGGATATATGTTTTAGCAATTTCTTTTATCAGTACCGACATATATAAAACAAAAGTGAAAAAAAAAGATCATCTTTGGTTTTTTTTCTTTGTCAATTAATCAGCACTTCATCTTAAAAGTCTGCCCTGAGATTCCACTTTTGCACAAGCAAGAATTCACACATTCCCTCTTTAAAAAAAATAGTAGTGCAGTAACAGAACAAGCAAACAGAAAGACCTCAAGATGCAAAGAGGAAAGCAGACTGGCCAGGAACTTTGGAACTTGAGGACCGGCACATTCCTCACGGAAGGAATGAGTGCCTGGGTTTTGTTTTTGCCTCCTGTCCATCTTGTTTAGTTAGGCCTCCAGAAAAACCTAAAACCTGAAACCACAACCCCAAGAAAAGCCTGCTCCATCTTCCCAAGGACTAGGAAAGGGGCAACCTTGCAGACCAAAAATGTACTTTTGATAACACTAACCCCCAGCCATATAGTAAGAGAAAAACTGAGCCACGCCTCCCCACAGTGCCAGTGAGGCTGAAAGGAAGCTGCACTTCCATCCCCACACGGCAGCACAAGACAGTGCAGATCAGTTCTCTGCTCTGCCCCTTGAGGTGGTGTCCACAGGGCGGAGCAGGAAGCTGAACTACTGCCACTCATGGGCAATGAGGTAGTAAGAAATGGCAAGAGTCAGTGCCCCTCTTTTTCTGGTGGTAGCAGGAGCAGCAGGGAGATGAATTTTCAGTTCTGTTTGGTAGTAACAAAGAGAACCAAGTTTGGATGTGGAAGTATTTGGTCAGTGCTTTGATTCCCTCAGAGAAAAATCAGATGAGAGAGAGAAAGAAAGAGGATAGGGGAGACACAGCCAATCATAGGATGCTAAAGAGTGAAAGCAAAGGATCTACATTCATATTATTGGAATCTAAGGAAGATAGGAGAAATAGCATGGGATGGAAAAAATATTCGAAGAAATACTGCCGGAAAATTTCGCAAATGTGCTGAAAGATACACATGTTTAGGAAGCTAAGTGAACTCCAAAGGTAAGCCCAATGCCTCAGTTACTTTTCTCTCATTGCTGGACAAAATGCCCAGCAACCCAAATGAAGAAAGGAAAAATTTATTTAGCTTGCAGTTTGTGGAGATTTCAGTCCATAATCAGCTGGCACCAAAACAGGATGGCATGGCACCCGGGCAACACTTCAAGGTAGCAGACAGAGCAAAAGAAGGGCAAACAAGCCTCTTTTCCTCCTTTATTTTATATTGCTCATAGGCCATCTCCCCCACCACACTGGAGTAGTACTCACAAAATCTCCCTGCCCTCCTCTTGCACAGGACAAGGATATTTACAAATTAAGAACCTGGCTCTCTGCTGAGTCTTTTAGTTCTAAACTTCTAAACTTCTCAAGTTGACACAGTGTTTCAACCATAATACCCAAAGAAAGGCATTCCAGGCCACATCAGAATCAAACTTCAAAATCAAACTTTAAAACTTCAAAAAACTAAAAACAAAAAATCTTGAAAGCAACTAGATAGAAATTGTAAGCAATGATGTAAAAGCAGCCAAGACCACCAGACTTCTGTAAAGGAAACATGGTATAGAATTTATTGGTGCAGGCAGACAAAAGACAAAAAGGCCGTCTGCAAGGAACAAAGACGAACAGGCTTTGTTAATAGGGCTTGAAAAAAGGCAAGGGACAGGAGGTGGGAAGATCTTGGTAAACATCAGTAATCCAAAGTTCTTTAAATGTCCGGTGCCTCAGTGGGCAAAGACCTGGGGCATCTGGTATAAATGTTCAGGTGTCTTCAAATGTCCCAGTGCTTGGAAGATTCCAGGCTCCATCTTAGTTCTTTGTACAACGTCCTGTGTTTGCCAAGGGCAGCCCCAGGGCTGAGCCAAGTCTCCACTGAGAACAATGCGTCTGTTGGCAAACAGAAGGTGCTGAAGAGTCATGCCTGAATTGACATGAAATGACATGTTAACTAAGCAAGATCAATGATTTGAACAACAGTGGATTTCTCACCTGAAACATGAGGGCAATCCTAAAAGCAAAGGACTAAACTGTAATTCTAACCAGTAGAGTATGGCATTGGAAACTATGTCAAGGGTGACTGAGCCTGGCTTCAGGTACAGGGAAGTTAAACTTATGTTTAAAACTGTATACCAGGGCAACATAAAATCATAGGCATTCATTATAGCCACAGGAAGATAGGGAAGAGAATAAATGGAAAAGAGAAAAAACAGAAGATGGCAGACCACTCCTAACATACCAATAATTATGTAAATGGGTACTGCATACATCAACTAAAAGTACAAAATGGATCAAAGATCTAAATATTAAAACAGAAACACTAAATCTATTGGAGGACAAGATAGGTAGAAAACTTGGATACACAGGGGTAGACAGGTAATTCAGAACAAAACGCAAACTGCATGAAATACTTCAACACATCAACAACTGGTTTCACATCTTATTAAAAAGTTTTTGCACTTCAAAAGAAATGACCAACAAGGCGTAAAGAAAACCTGCAGAATGGAAAAGAATTTTAGCTGACAATCCCTCACACAATGGACATATCCAGAGTATATAAAGAATTAAAAGACATCAAGCCCCCCAAATTCAAAGACCCTTTTCAAGAATGGGCATCTGAGATGAACACACATTTCACAGATGAAGATATATAAATGGCAAATAAATACATGAAGAAATGTTCACCATCACTGGGCATTCGAGGAATGCAAATTAAAACAGCTTTGAGATTTCATCTCACTCCAGAAAGAATGGCTGCGATCAAGAAATCAACTGATAATAAATGTTGGCAAAGTTGTAGAGAAAAAGGAACACTGCTCCATTGTTGGTGGGGGTGTAGACTGGTGCAGCCACTATGGAAATCAATATGGAGAGTCCTCAAAGCTAGGAATAGAAGTTTCATTCAACCCAGCTATTCCCCTCTTGGTTATTTTCTCCCCAAAATTGAAAAGATCATGTCACATTGATATATGTGTACCAATGTTTATAGCAGCACAATTTGTAATATCTAAATCTTGAAAACAACCCAAAATGCCCATCAACTGCAGAGTGGATGAAAAAGATGTGGTATTTTTATATGATGGAATATTACTCAACTATAAAAAAGGGCAATGTTGAAGCCTTAAATAGTCATCTCAATACAATCCAAAGACAGTCATTGAAGGGTTTTAGAAGTTATGTGCCAAGAAATGAGGATAAGGACCACATATGTGTTACAATAAATCACAATTTCATAAATATAAATAAATCTGCAATGTAAATTCAACCACACAAATTAGACGGTCCAACTCTTCAAATGACAAACTTAATAAGATTTACCTAATATAAAACAGAAGTTCTAAATAGTCCTATAACTATTAAAGAATCAAAGAATTTAAAATCTTCTAAAAACCATCAGACCAAGATCATTTCACAAAATTCTACCAAGAATTTAAAGAAGAATTAGCAACAGTTCTACAGTCTCTTCCAAAAACAATAAGAAAAGCACTTCCAAATTCATTTTTGAAGCCAGCATTATTACTGTGATACCCAAGACAATACAGTACAAAGAAAAAATTTGGACCAGAATCTCTCCTGAACTTATATGCAAAAATTCACAGCAAAATTTTAGCAAACAGAATCCAGCAGTAAATAAAAAGTTGTATACTATGACCAAGTAAAAAATGACATAGTGTTCCAACATTTGCTAGTCAATCTAATCAATATGTCGTTAAAGAAGAGAAAAATCCCGTAATCACACTCATTGATCCAGAAAAAAATTTTAATGAAATGCAATATTCATCATAAACATCACAAATTTAGAATTGAGCGAACTTCCCTCAACTTGATGAATATTTATCTACAGCTAATATCACAATGAAGAGAAGCTGACTGCTTTTTTCCTAGAACTGGGAACAAGGCAAGGGTGACTACTTTCACCCCTGTGAAACACAGTGGTACAAGTTCTAGT